AAAGAGGAAAAGGTGGAAAGGATAGAAAAGTGAGAAGAAAAGATCAGAAGTTCAGTAGAGCTAGACAAAAAACAAAAAGATAATTAAGAATGAAAGAAAAAAAGAAGACGAGAAAAGAAAGGAAAACACACATTCATGTATTCCTAAAATAAAAATTATAAGAGGAGAAAAAAAAAGTTAATGGAAAACAATTATTTTTTCAGAAGAGGCAAAACTTAAAGATTAATAAAAGTTTTAGAAAAGCAAAAAAAATTTTTTTATATATATAAGGTAACAAAAAACGAAAAAAAAACAAAACAAAAAAAAAGAAAAAAAGAAAAGAAGAAGAAGAAAAAAGTTCTTTGATTTTTTTTTTTTTTGGGGGGGAGGGGTGGGAAGATTCCTGTATCTCCCTTTTGTCTGTAACCAGAGTCTGGTTGGAGTCTCTGGTCAGCTTGAGGTTCTGTGGCTTGATTGGTTTCTTAAGTCAGTTTGTTGGAACAGGCAGAAAAATGCTCTGCTTTACCCAAGATTTTGAGATCCCCCTCCCAGGTTAGTTTACTGGGAGGGTGATCTGCTTTGAGAATCACAAAAGAGGGGGATGCAGTGATGAGGCTAGGTTCTGGGTAGAGTTGAGGCCTTTCAACAAACAGTAGATTTTCCCTGGGGCTATTTTGTGAAAAAAACTCACAGCACCCAGCCTGGAGCCATTCTCAGGGTTTCTGTTTTTCAATTGATTGTGGTGGCTGCTAGAGGGAGGGGCAGCCTCTGGCTCTGGTTACCCGGTGAGGAGAGCCACTCCAATGGCTGGCGCCTGAGCTGGGTGACTTTTCCCTGGATGGAACTGAGTCTGTGAGGTCACTTCGCCGTTAAGTTCTTGTGACCTGCTAAATGACTCGTTTTATTCCAAGGCCTGAGCTGGAGCTAGCCGCTCCTCCGAGCTTTGTCGGTATCCAAGATGGAGATCACCGGTGCTGGGTGGGGGGAGGGGTGGCCTTCCCTCCTCTGCTCCCTGGGAAGGAGTGAGGAAGTCGGGCTTCTACTCACGCCGAGTCTTGGATCCTGGGTCGTCTCTGGTCTGCAAAGTGCAGGATGAAATTGTCCGCTCCTTGTCGGTTCTTGCTGGTGTTGAGTAGAATCCTCTCGCCCGCTGCGTCTGGCTCCTTCGTCCCGGACTCTCTGTGTGAGCGCTCAGGTATGGCCGCGGCTGTGGTCGCCGCTGCGACCCTGCCGCCGCAGCAGCAGCTGCTGGCAAGTGCTCAGATGTGTCTGCTTGGCTTCCCCTCTCTTGACTAACTCTCTGTCCTGTGATGGCACACTTGGTGTGATTCTCTGGCTTGGGACTGTTCACTGGAACTCTGAAACTGTTTTCTATGCAAGAGCTTGTTCAGATTCCAGCTTCTCCGCCATCTTCCCGGAACTCCTCCCTTGATTACATTTCTTAGTACTCTGTTTCTTTTTATTCGGAGTAATCTCTTGTAAGTGTATGTAGCACAGTTTATTCATTGATCAGTTAATCAACAATTGAGTTTCTAATATTTGGTCATTATAAACAAAGCAGCTGTGAATTTGTGTGGACATGATTTCATTTCTCTAAGTTCTAAGGAATAGCAGTACTGGTTCATGGGTAACTACATTGCCTCCTTCTTTTACTTTTTCTTTTTTCTTTTTTGGTCGGTCGTGGGACTTGAACTCTGGGCTTGGGCACGGTCCCTGCGCTCTTCAGCGCAAGGTGAGCGCTCTACTGCTTGAGCCACAGTGTCACTTCCAGTTTTCTAGTTGTTTATTGGAGATAAGAGTCTCACGTACTTTACTGCCTGGGCTGGCTTTGAATCAGGATCCTCAGATCTCAGCATCCTGAGTAGCTAGGATTACAGGCTTGAGCCACCGGCTCCCGGCAATACTTTTTCTTTTACTTGCTTTAGACAATCTTCTCATATAATCCAGGCTGGCCTGGAACATGGGATTCTTTACATCCGAGTCTCCACAGTGCTGGGATCATAGGTGTGTGTCACCATGCCTGGCTATGTGCTTACTTTTTAAAGAAATTGCCAAGTTATTTTTCTAAAGTGGCTGTAAAACTACCAATATATGCTTATGTTGATTGCTATATATCTACCCTAGTCTTAGAATTATGCATTTTTAATTTTAGCTATTCTGGAGCATGTATATGGTATCTAATGGTTTTAATTTAAATTAACCGATGACTAATAAAAGCAAGCATATTTTCATATGCTTATTTGCTATATTGTATCTTCTTTCATTAAGTTTCTGTTCAAATCAGTTGCCTATCCTTTTAAGTTGAATTGTCTACCTTATTGAACTGTTAGACTATTCTAGAAGTAAACTATTTATCAAAAAGATCACTGTGAGGTGTTTGTTTTTCTTTTGTGTGTCCTATTAAGAAACTTTAAACAAGGGAGGCATAAAGGCTTGTGACAGCCTAGGCTATATAGCAAAACTCTGTTTGTAAATAAAACAAAGAATTCTTGATGTAATTCAAGTTTCCTTAGATTTACTTCTGTATTTTACCTCAGGAGAATTGTAACTTTGCCTTCTAATCTTTCCATACTGTGTAAGGGAAATGTCAGGGTTCTTGTTTTTTGCATGGGAATAGCATAATTCTAGAGAAAATTTTCCACTTGAAAGACCCAGTTTGTCAAATGACAATTAATATACAATTGCATATCTATCAAAATAACAAAAATCCAAAACAGTGACAACATCAAGTGATGACAAGGATGGCGGAACAGCAAATACTGTTAATCTTTGCTGATAGAATTCAAAGTGGTAGAGCCACAGTAGCAGTGTGACAGTTTCCTACAAAACTATTCTTACCATACTATTTAGTAGTCCTGCTCTTGTGGTATTTACTAAAAGAAACTGAATATTTCAAAGTTTATATAAAACTTTACACTAAGCTATTTGGAGCAATTTTGTTCACAGCTACCAAAACTTGGACATAACCAAGGTATTCATCAGTGAATAAGTTAGTAAATCAGTACAGTGAAATACTATTGGTACTAAAAGGAAATAAACTTTCATAAAAAGACATAGAGGAATGTTAAGGCAATTTGACTAAGCCAAAGAAGCTAGTCTACAAAGGCTACTAACCCAATCCTGTGACATTGGCTAGTATGAATACCATTATAAACTATGTAGTTTGGGTGATGACGTTGTCAGTTCAGGTTCATCCATCTTAACAAATGAACCACTCTGAGGAAGCTTGTCTAGTGATGCAAGTGTCTGAAAACAGCCAACTGCTTGTTCATGCTATGAACCTAAAACAATTCTGAAAAATGAAACATTTTAAAAATAAGTTGGACATCTTTCTGGGCTTGCTCTTTTCTTCTGTTGATCTAAATGGCTTATTTTTATGTCTAACAGACTGCCTTATGGTAAGATTTGAAGTCAGGTAGTATCATTCATCCAACTTTCTTTTGTGTTTTCAAAAATTTTTTGGCTGTTGGTCCTTGTACATTTTAGAATTTTTTTTTACTTCCCCCATCTTTCCCAAACCACACTAAAAGGTGGAGGGATTGAGATTGCTTTGAATGTAAAGTTCATTTAGGGAGTATTTAACAATGTACTGGATCTAAAGAACTGGATCTTCTGGCCCATGTATATGTTACCTCTCTCCATTTATTAAGGTTTAATTTATTTTCCCAACAATGCATTATACATTACAGAATGCAGGTCTTGCAAACATTTTGTTAAATTTACCACTTAAATTTTTAATGATTTTTTTTTCACTTTCCTTAAAATTTAAGTTTCTGACTGGTTATTGTTAGAGAAATTCAGTTGATTTATATACAGAAACCTTGCTAAAATCACTTATTTCTAGTAGATTTTTTTTTTAATTAAATGTTTTTAGGATTTCAATTTGAGAGTTACATTATATGAGATCAGAGACAGTTTCCATCTTTTACAGTCTGGATGCTTTTCATTTCTTCTTGAATCCAATGCTGTCTAGAACTTCTTGTGTAGTGTTGAATTAAAGTGGTAAATTGACAAGAAATTTTATTGTGAAGTGTGATATTAAGTGTCTTGTTTTATTCATGTAGTGAGATGATCCTGAGGTTTGTATTGGTTTGTCTTCCACTTCCCCCAATCCTTTCATTTCCAGGCCTAATCTGCCATTAATCTCATCTGGTGTAGTGTTTATTTTTTTAATTTTTTTTTTAAATTTCAGAAGTTTGATTTAAGTCTCTGGAAAAACAGTCACCTTATCTTTTGTCTTCAAAATACTTTCTTCTTTGAGTTAATGTAATGTATTCATAAAGACAATTTTTACATCCTACAAAAATCTATGTTATTCTATGTTTCTTTTTTCTTGTTAAGGATCATATTGTCATATTTCTTTTCATGTCTTCGTATTTATTGGATACTAAGCTTAAAGGATTTTGTACTCCTGAATATTGGGTTTTTAAAAAATTTATTACTTCAAATATTCCTGATGATTCCCTTAACCTTAATATTTTGAGGTATTGATTAGTGTTCTCCCGAGAAGTTGGGGACCTCCTTAAAAGCCTCTGGAACTCCTTGTAGCTCTTTCCTCTGAAGTGCTCAGTCTCATTCTAGTTGCCTCACCCTTCCAAACTTCGAAATGCTTATCTTGACTAAGCATTGTTTCTGCTTATGGTCTCCCCATCTGGACTGCAGCTTGGAGCCCCTTACAGTCTGAGTGCAAAATGTATCAAAAATATTTGCCTTGTTTGATTCGGGAGAATTGCCCCATGGCCTGTGTTCTCATATCTGAAATTTATTGCTTTGTGCATTTTGTCTGCTCTCCTATTTTGAGGTGAGATGGTCAGTTTGGTCTGTTACACGCTTGTGGCCAAAACTGGTTTGCCTAATTCTGATCATTAAAGTAAATCTGTGTTAACAGATTTCCCACACTTTGCTATAGCATGCAGTGTTATTTAATATACTGTGAGCCAAGTATATGATAGGGAAGGATTGATTTTCATTTTCAAATAATGTTTCAGAGATGTAATTAAAAGAATTGCTTTCTATTTCAGAAGCAAAACGGACAAGTCGGTTTTTAAGTGGCATTATTAACTTCATTCACTTCAGAGAAGAATGCCGTGGCACATATATGGAGTTTCTCAAGCAATATGTAAGATTTAAATATATTTGTGGGTTACTCATCAGATCAATAATAGCATCATTTATGAATTATTGATCTATCTTGAATTTTTTTTACAGGTAGAATTGAATTTGTTACTATATTTATATGAAGTTGCAGCTTTTAGTTTCTGGAAAGCTTATTTCAAAGCAATGTTTCTTTGGTAACAGAGAAGCTGAGTTTTTGTTTTCTCAACTGAGGCTTTTCCTATATTAGGAAATTTTAGGGAAGAGAATATTGATTATACAGTATCGTGTTCTTTAAATAGTTGATACATATATATATCAAATATATCTGCCTTTCTGATAATGGCCTAGAGTTGTTTGTGTGGTTTGTCCATTTCTTCCCAGGTTTTTGTTTTTTTTTTTTTGGGGGGGGGGTCTGGTTTTGGAGCCTGAACTCTGGGCCTGGGCGCTGTCCCTCAGCTCTAGAGCTCAAGGCTAGCACTCTACCACTTGAGCCACAGTGCCACTTCTGGCTTTTTTCTCTTTTGCTTTTGTGGTGCTGAGGAATTGAACTCAAGGCCTCAGGCATGCAAGGCAAGCGCTCTACCACTGAGCCACCTTCCCAGCCCCTCTTCCCAGTTTTGAAGTAGGTTGACCTCAGAAAGTACCAGAGTAACATCAAACAATTAGATCTGATGCTGTGGCTTCACTGAGCTACATATATACTTCCTTGCACAAATCATGCAAAGCTTATACCATCTGAACATAATGAACACACTCAAGTTTATATATACTTGTACCCACATAGCTGAAACATCTGTCACTTCTACACAGCTCTCTATGACTTTTTTATTTAATCTATTACCCCATTGTGCTGAGTGGTAACTTTTCTTTAATCCTTTTATAATCAGTACTATATCATGTTTTGTAATTTCCTTATTCATATTTGATGTCAAAGAGAACACTACTGTTAGTGACACTGTGGCTCAAGTGGTAGAGCACTAGTCTTGAGTTGGAGAACACTACTGTTTAAGTGTAGGAACGCCAAGTCTTCTTAAAAATTTCTAGCACCTAACACAATGACTAATCATGGTTAGAACTCAACTTTTGTGTTGCACGAAAAAGTTCTTGGGCTGGGGAGGTAGCTATCATATACAGCCCCCCAATATGTCAAATAAATAAAGTTAATTTTCCACAAATGCCTATTTGTATTTTCCATTTCTGGTGGTGAGCAAACATTTTGTAGTATGGAACAGTAGACCTTTTTTTTTTTTAATATATCACAGAATGATGAAAAGTAGTGATATGAGATTATGAAAATTACCTTACTAGAAAACCTCTGTGGACAAAATGCAGCAGTTGAATATTGCACACCAGGAGGCACTGATGAAGCTGGAGAGACTTGAGTAAGTGGGAGATTAACAAATGAATGTTATTTCAAACTGCAAAGTGGATTATGAGTGGTATTTACAAGTCTATAAGTCTATTTGAAGTCCCTTTTTACCTTCCTTAATAAATATCAGACTATATTTAAGTTTGCCCTTTCTAAAAAAAAAATACAGATTTTGTTCTAACTCTTAATTATGTTACCATAGGCTTTCTTTTTGTTGGTGTGACAGCCTGACTTGTTTGAAGTTTCTTTAACTTGCTTTCGTGAATTAAAACCAGTGTTTGGGGCTGGGAAGGTGCTCAGTGGTAGAGTGCTTGCCTCCCATTCATGAGGTCCTGGGTTTGATTCCTCAGCACCACATAAACAGAAAAAGCCGGAAATGGCACTGTGGCTCAAGTGGTAGAGCCTAGCCTTGAGCTGAAGAGCTGAGGAACAGCGCCCAGGCCCAGAGTTCAAGCTTCATGACCAAAAAAAAAAAATGAGTTTGTCTTACGTAGAAGCAATACTGTCTAAACTCTGTCTTCAGATCAGTTAATGCTGATTCAATTTTTCCTCCTCTGACAGCTTGCTTTGTTTTGGACACAGGGAAGAATCTTTTAAGTGCTCTAATTTCTTGTTCTTTTTTGTATATGCAGATGCTTCTGAACTCATAGTACAGTTCTGTCTGATGAACCATCAGTAAATTGGAAAGTATCAAATTTAGCTAAGCAGCTGAGCATAGCAGTTCAGTCCACTGAAGCTTGGGTTTGCCCTTATGATCTGATAAGCTAGAGCTCCATACCCAGTACCATCTATTCCTAGCTAGGGAAATAATCAAATTTTTAAAAGTTTGAAGTAGAATGTATATCATAAAGTTGGATATTTGTTCTGTGGCTCCTTTGTAAATTAAGGGTCATCTGTACTGATTTTAAGAAGTGTTTTCATTTTTAAGTTATTTCTAATTTGTGGATGTCTTCGAGGTTGTGTGTTTCAGGTGATAGCTTTTCTGACCTGTGTCTTATTTGAAAATCCCAATGAACATTGCCCTCACAGGCAACACTAAGCTGAAAAAACTAGGAATGAAAGGCAGATACTACAATTTAGGTTAGGAAAAGATGCCACAAATGAAGTGACAAATTGAGAGAGAATACTTATAGCATCTGATACAAAGAATAATAACAAAGACTGTAGTAATCCTAATATACTAAGGATTCTTACAAACTGAGGAAAAGAAATAATTTAATGGAAATGTGGACAGAGGCAATAAAAAGGGATTTAGAGTAGAATGAAAGCAGGTAGCTAATATACCACAGCAAAAGTAAAAGTAGGGCAATCATTGGAGGAGGCTAACCCAAGAAGGAATGCCATTTTTATTTTATGAAGGGCAGATGCATAGATTTGATAGTAGAAACTTAAAGGTACTCATTTTATCTTCTCTCAGTAGGGAATGAAGGTCATCTGTTTTAAAGAGCTGTCATATGGAATTATGTAATTCACAAACAAAAAAGCAGATGTTTCTTCTAAGTTACTTGAGGGCAGATAATTTGTGTCCTCTCTATATCCTGAATGGATAAATGTTTCCCTGTGTTTAGTTCTGTTCCAGTTGAAGAGCAGGAAGAGTTCAAGCAACTTACGGATGATATTCAGGATCTGCAGCAATCACTGAACCAAGAGTTTCGTCAAAAAACGGTATCTTTTGTGAAATACCCTAAAGAAAAACATGTAGTGAGGGTAAAGGCACATTGCTTTTGTTTACTAGAGAAATCAAATATATTACTATGTCCATATGTGCCCTTTGCCATCTTCGCTCAACTATGTAGAGAGCTGTGCTAGTTTGTTTGTGTTGCCAAAGTTCTATACAGTCTAGGTGAATTGAATTTTTTAGGGTTCTCTTGTGTCTAGTCCTACTGTGTACTATAGCAACCTAGATACCACATCTCATAGGCACCTTGAGATATTTTACACATTTAGGGAAACACTCTGGTGCTCATTATTTTTCACACACTTTTTCATTAGTTTTCAATGTAGTTTAGTTTTAATGTTAGGTTACATTTATGCAGTTAGATTTAACTACTTCATGAAGAAATTCTTAGACATTTCTTGTGACATAGAAGAACTAAACAGAGGAAGTTTGAAAATACCCGGTCCATAATTTTATGAGAAATTAATAGGTGACTAAAGTTAAATCATTTTGCTTTTTTTTCCATTATTATTTGTTTGAACCCTGGGCCTCAGTACTGTCCTTGAACTAATTTTGCTGAAGCTAGCATTCTACTACCACTTGAGCCACAGTGTCACTTCCAGCCTTTTCTGAGTGGTTTATTGGAGATAAGCATCTCACATATTTTTCCTGTCTGGGCTGGCTTTGAACCACAATCCTCAGATGTCAGCCTTCTGAGTAGCTAGGATTACAGGCATGAGCCACCGGCACCTGGCCTCATTTTGCTTTAAAAAAAAAAAAATTATTACCTTGGGTTGGGAAGGTGGCTCAGTTGTAGAGTGCTTGCCTTGCATGGATGTGGCCCGGGGCTTGATTCCTCAGTACCACATTAACAGGAAAAACCAGAAGTGGCACTGTGGTTCAAGTGGTGGAGTGCTAGCCTTGAGCTGAAGAGCTAAGGGACAAAACCCAGGCCCAGAGTTCAGTCCCACAACCAACAACAACAACAACAATATATATATATATATATAGATAGATAGATATAGATATATATATAGATATATAACCTTTATTTTAAAATTATTATTATTTAGGTAGTTGTGCAAGGAAGTTTTAATTCGACAAGTCAGATTATGAATACAATGCATCTTGACCCATGTCACTTGTTCCAACATTCTCTGCCATCTTTAAATTAGAGTCATAGTAAGACATTTGTTTTCTTTCTTTCTGTAGACAGTGCTGCAAGAGGGAAATTCCCAAAAGAAATCAGATATCTCAGAGAAGACTAAGCGCTTGGTAAGGTTTTTCTGTTGTCTAGCATTTAACGTTTGGTTGCACTATGGGAGGAGTATTTTACCTGTATGCATTATGATTGTCAGATGTTTCTCTATAATCTCTCCCTCAAAATGAAATCAACTCAGTCTTTTTCTACTTAAAATTGTGACTGAGAAAATAAAAATGTACTAAAAGCCATACAACCCAATATATATGTAGATCTCATATATATGCTTATATATCATGTGTGCATAAATTATTTCTAGTGTACATGTATATATAAAGATAGTTATTATGTTAATGGGTCTATATGGATGGACATTATCTAACTTCATCTTTTGGTTCCCTTTTGATAACATATGCATGTGCCATGGATATGAACATGTACAAGTGTATGTATTTGTATTTATTTACCAGGTTCTCGTATCTTCAGTTAATTTTTTGGTCATTCATGGGGCTTGAACTCTAGGCCTGGGTGCTGACCCTCTGCTCTTCAGCTCAAGGCTAGCGTTCTATCACTTGAGCCACAGTGCCACTTCCGGCCTTTTCTGTTTATGTGGTGCTGAGGAATCAAACCCAGTGCCTCATGCAAGGGAAGCAAACACTCTACCACTGAGCCAACTTCCCAGCTCTCTTAGGATAAATTTCTAAATTCAGACTTTTTTTTGGTTGTTTGTGGGGCTTGAACTCTGGGCCTGGGTGCTATCAGCTCTTCAGCTCAAGGGGAGTGCTCTACCACTTGAGCCACAGCACCACTTCTGGTTTTTCTGAGTGGTTTATTGGAGATAAGAGTCTCATGGACTTTCCTGCCAGGCTGGCTTTGAACCTCGATCCTCAGATCTCAGCCTCCTGAGTAGCTAGGATTACAGGCGTGAGCCACTGGCGCCCGGCTTAAATTCAGACTTTTGCACTTGACTGACTCCTGTTGCCATGAGTTAATTTATTGACTAATGTTGCCAAACTTAGAACATACTGATTCATATTCCTGCCAGTGGAATATGACTGTATCCCTTCTTCTATCCTTGCTAACACCAAAAAACAAACAAACTAAAACAATAAAAAAAAAATGGAGGAAAGAGGCAAGTTAAGAGACAAACCTGGTTTGCATTGTAAGCTCAGATAGAATGCTTGCCTAAAAAGCTTAAGCCTCTGAGTTCAAACCCATTCCATCTATATCCTTGCTAAAATTAAATGTCTTTATTTTATTTTTCCATTCTTACAGGGAGAAAAAATTATTATAATTTGGTTTCTTTCATACTTTTGATTTTGGCCATCTTAGTGATTTATTATTATTCATAAACTATTGGAGAGCTTACCTATTGTGTTTTTTAAAGAAATTTTATAGATTAAAGAAATTAGGTAGTTTTCAAAATTTTTCCCATTATGGAAGGCTTACATTTTTACCTAGTGAAATACATATACTATATTCTCTTATCACAGTCTGTTTGGTTTCTCTATTTTAATCCTTGTTTTCTAGATTCTTCCCAAATTTATTTATTTTGGTTTTAGATATCCTTTATTTACTTATTCTTTTTTCTTTGTGTGTGTGTGTGTGTGTGTGTGTGTGTGTGTGTGTATTTGAGGCAGTGTTGTATTATATATGTAGCCCAGGCTGGCCTATTTACATCTATTTCTTTTAATTGGGTTGTGTTTTTTGCTATTTATTTTTTGGAGTTCCTTCTATGTACTATATAATTTCCTGCCATTTAGCTCTTCTTTAACATTAGTAGGTAGGTGGGGTCAAGGAAGAAATGTAATTTCAAGACAGTTGTTTTGTTTCACTAGAGTTTAGAGGCTTTGTTCTGGGAGATCAAAACAAAACCTTGTTCTCCTGAGATTGAGTTAGTTTATTACGGGGAGAAAGATACTAAATAATTTGTAAATAATTATATAATTGCAAATCATAATATGTACATACTGTAAAAGCACATATTGCTTTCCATTCTGTGGGTTGATTATTTCTTTGTTGCACAGAAACTTTTCAGTTCAACATTACACAAAATGTAATACACACAAAATGTGCTTGCATTTTGTGCTTTGCGTATTGTGTGACAGTCTTTTCCCATTCCAGTGTCTTGAAGTGTTTACCTCATGTTTTCTTCTAGTAGTTTCATTCATAAATGAAATTCGGTAGAAGTAAGGATTTGCTTTGATACAAACACGCATATATTGAGCACCATTCCAGTGCTATTACTTTGTCTGGGTCCTGGGAAAACAGAGGTAACTTCACAACTCCAAGACACGTGGTGTATTTTTAAGCACATTAAATATATAGTGTTATACCTATAATACTTGTGCTGTTTATGGAAGAAATGGGAGCAAGGTTTTCAAGGATTAATAGAAATTGTGATTGCAGACAGAATTAAGATGGTGTGAGATTTTATGAGGACCATAGTGATCACAAAAATATAGCTTAAGGCCTTGAATGTCATGCTAACAAGTTTGCTCTTTTAACTGTAGAAAGCTGTGAGCAATTAATCAGGCTAGTGATGATGGTCTGAATTTCATTCTATGCTTACTTCAGCAAACAACCCTAGTTTATTGTTTCCTATTATAGAATTTACCAATTTTATCTTCATACTTAATTAAGGAAAATGTTTCTTGACAGAATGAACTGAAATTGTTAGTGGTTTCTTTGAAAGAAGTACAAGACAATTTAAAAACAAAGATTGTGGATTCCCCAGAAAAGATAAAGAATTACAGAGAAAAAATGAAAGATACAGTCCAGAAGCTGAAACATTCCAGGGTGAGTTTCCTTTTATTTTAATCTTTTTCTTTCTTTCTTTTTTTGGCAAATTCTTGTGTGATCACATGCCAGTTTTCTGCCTTCTGGATTATATATCTTTCTCTTTAATATTTTGGACCTTTGTACCTCTTTTGTAACGTCGCTGGGACAAAGATACTATGCTACAGAGGTTTGAGACTTTGCTCTGGGAGATCAAACCAGAAATGCCCCTGTCCATGTAAGATGGAATGAGTTTATTACAGGGAGTAAAGGTGTTAAGCAACTTGCAAACGACAATAAGGCTCCTAATCATCATATATATTATGAAGAATATGACTGTTTACATGTGTGCATAGGGCATGTGTGAGAAATCTGTGCCTTCTGTCCAGTTTTACTGTCAGTATAAAATTGCTGTAAGAACTTATGTCAATCTGTTTTTAGAATAATTTTTAAACAAGATATTAAAACTGGTTAGTAAGTGAAATTCTACTTTATTTTTGAATTTGTTATCCAAGTAATTTCTGATCATTAAAATTATCACTTAAGAATAGAATAAAAATCACCAGAATTTGCTTATTTATGGGGAAAGTATGTTTTATTTTAAAATTTATATAACCATCTAGAAGAAAAGGGAATTGGACCTATACCTGGCACTACCTATAAAAGTAACTTCTCATTTAAGATTTAAGTATTAAATATTTGATTTAAATGTTTAACAACTTTAGACATTGTAAGAGTGATCATGGATTATTTTTGCTGTATTCAGTTCAGGTTAGCTTAGAGTTTATAGTTCTCTAGCTTTCCAAATGCTGGGATTCTAAAAGTATGCTACCACACTCAAGTAGACCTTTTTAAATTAAGAATGGAAGTCCAAAAACTAGACAGAAGTATAGACCTATTAAACCATATTTTCATTGCATATGCCAGGTAAAGGGGTTATTATTCACATAGAAAGAATATCTACAAATTGGGACAATTACAAAGAAAAGTACAACTGAAAAATAGGCAATAATATGATTAGACCTTAAACTGAAGAGAAATCTGATGGTTAAGGCAAAGCAAGGAGTACAATGGTGGGAAGAAGGAAAATCTTTATATTATTATACATTTAGAATTAGCCTTACTAGTAACTATTGGAATGAATAGGAAAGTTTTAAATAGTTAGTACAATTGTCCTGGAATAATCAGAATTTTTTGTTTGAGAATTTAAGAATCGGCATAATTTTTTTTTTTTAATTGCTGGTACTGGGATTGAACCCACAGCGTTGTACATGTTCGGCAAGCACTTTACCACTAAGCTATCTCCCCAGCCAGAGTAAACTCTTTAATAGCACAAGTAACCTTTGGAAGGTAGGATAGTAAGTGCTTTAGTACAATGGTGGCAGGTTCCTTTGTGTGAGGATATCTGGCTATTAAGTGTAATTATGTATGGGTAGACACATGTCAGTAATAGTGCTTTGTTACTGACCTAGAAACTTAATTGTTCCCTTCTTTTGAGCTTTCAGTATTAAATGTAGAAATCACTCAAGGGCAAACAAATTGACAAAATTGTAGTTTTAGAAAAGAGAATATCAAACTGTGGTCTTGTGTTTTTTTTCCTTTCATAGCAAGAAGTGATGGAGAAGTATGAAATCTATAGAGACTCAGTTGACTGCCTGCCTTCATGTCAGCTGGAGGTGCAGCTGTATCAAAAGAAAATACAGGACCTTGCAGATAATAGAGAAAAATTAACCAGTATCTTAAAAGAGGTTTGTATTGTGTGCAACTTTTTATGTCTTTATTTTGTAATAGCTTACTATAGTTCTTTGGATTTGATTTCACTTTTTGTTACTATTTTCTTAAAAGAAAAACAGGACTATTCTACAGAATAATATGTGAGGCATTGTGCCAGAGAATAAGACACTTTTCTTTTTTAAACACAGTAATCACCAAGACCTATTTTAACCTTCAGATGACATGAATATGAAATTAACTCACATGGTGTAATGCCATATCTATTTTGAAAAGTGGTAATGGATATTTAAACTTGTTCTCACATTTAGGGGTGGTCCTGTATAATCAGTATTCATTAAGTCCCACTTTAGTGCCTAGCATTATAACTTAAGTTTATAAAAGATATTCAAAGTTTGGTACATGGTTTCTACTTTAAATAATGAGAACTAGTGTTGTCACCGTAGCTCCTCAATCTAGAAGTTCACAAATTTTTTTAACTTCTTTTAACTTCATCTTAATCTAGATGATACCCGGGATCACTACATTATATTTGGTAGTAGTTGCCTCTTTTGAGACATGTATGGCTTAGGAGGTTAACTGCCCAACATTCTCTTCCTCCCTGTTGTATATCATCCTTTTATCTGCTATCAAGAGTCAGCAGGACAGAGATCTGCTTTTGTTTCTAATATCCACCCTTTTGTTTTTAATCCTACTGCCTCAGCTCAGAGCCCACATCCCTCAACTCCAACCTCTTGCTGCTTCTCTTATAGTAACCTTCTCTTCTAATCCTTCTGACAAAGGAGCATGCTAAACACTTTTCTTATGCTGTTTCTCTGCAACCCCAGCACCTCCCTGGTATTCCTTGTGTCCTCATGTGTAGTCTGTGTTTTGGGCTGGGCTTTTAGGACTAGAAGAGTTGTATCCCATTTCAAAGTTGGGTTTTACTACAGCTTATCCTAGAAAATACCCTTTCCTTTTGTGTAGAAATCCTAACTTGTTGTTATTGACTTTAAACATTTCTCATAAAATATAGAGCCTGAACTTGGAGGACCAAATTGAAAGCGATCAGTCAGAACTAAAGAAATTAAAGACTGAAGAAAATTCATTCAAAAGACTGATGATTGTAAAGAAAGAAAAGCTTGCCACAGCACAATTCAAAATAAACAAGAAACATGAAGACATCACACAGTACAAACGGACAGTAATTGAGTATGAACTTATTTGCATATTTTAGAATATTAGAAAATAATTAGGAAAAACTAATACATTTTTCTCTTTAGGAAGTCAAATCTACTCTACTTGCAAAAAGATATTTCATTTGTCCAGATTTTCAAATGTTTTAGTTACTAGTATTTTTTTTTAATTTTCTAAATACCACAATTCCATCTCCTTTGTATTATTCTTCAAAAGGATCCTGGTGCTACTACATACTTCAGGTCTCTTTGAGACAGTGATTTAGAGATACAGTAGATTGAATCAACTGGTATGTCATAGCAGATCCCTTGAGTTAATAGCATTTATTCTAAGAATAAGCCTTGTTCTCAGCTAAGAATGCTAAACTTCCTTGGTTGGTAGTCTTTTTAGTCCTAATAATGTGTTATAACAATGCCTGTCACAGGTATAGCTAGGGCATCATTCTTTCAGTCCTTAAGGAAACATGAGGCCCACCATGCAAAGCATGGGTGGAAACATAAGGTTTTGTATTTATTGCCCAACTGCCTTGCAAAAAACTGTACTGAATTACAGTCCCATTAATATTATATAAATATAGATAACTGAAGAAATGCAACTTAAAAACGTTTATACAGAATAGTTTTTGAAGGCTGGGAGTGTAGCGCAGTAGCACTTGTGTAGCAAACGTAAGTCCCTAGGTTTGATCCACAGCACTATGAAAGAAGGAAGGGAGGGAAGAAAGGAAAAGGAGGAAGAGATCTGAATAAAAGAGCTCATTACATATTGTGATTTGACTGTGACAGTACACTTTGGGGTTTCTATCTGTCTTTTTGCTGTCTTGGGAAGAATTTTAGGGTTGTTAAACAAATACTGACTCATTAGTTTTGGAACAAAATCAGAGTTATATATTTCTCTTTTTTTTGGTTGTTTTTTTGTCGGTCATGGGGCTTGAACTCTGGGCTTGGGTGCTGTCCCTCAGCTCTTCAGCTCAAGGCGAGAGCTCTACCACTTGAGCTACTACAGCGCCACTTCCTGTCTTTTTGAAATGCCTAAGAGGTGTTATCACTATCTCTTTTTTCCCTTCCTTTAGGGATTGCAATAAAGTTCAAGAAAAAAGAGGTGCTGTCTGTGAGCGAGTAACCACAATTAATCAAGAAATCCAGAAAATTAAATTTGCAATTCAGCAACTAAAAGATGCCACTGAAAGAGAAAAACTAAAGTCCCAGGTAAGAATGCATTCATAAGAAATTAATTTCATATAATCTCATGAGCTTAAAATAAAAATTGTATCACCTCCACTATGAAAATTGTCAGTTCTATGAGATAGAAAATTACCCTATGGGTCTTTTGCTTTTGTTTGTCCTTATAGCTCCCATCCTGTCCTGTTAGCCTTTTTTTTTTTGCTTGCCTTTTTCCCTAATAACACAAAGCCAGAAATCATATTTCCCAGTAAATGTTGTTCCATAAAGATTCTGAATTTATTAGTTATAGTGACGTAGATAGTGATTTTAAGTAATATCCTTCTAAAAACTTTCTGCATCATTTCTCCTGATAAAAAGATCTCAAATACTTATTAACATTAATGTCAAATCTCTTTTGAGTTGTTAACTAAGGGAGACAGAGCTTAAATTGGTCCCTTTGTGTTATAAGCCTCTTAATGTCTTTATCATAATTACCTAAAATTACTTTTTGCTTATTCAGACTATATCTATTTTATTGCTACATAAATAACCTTAAGTAATGAGCACTGGCATCTTTTGCATTTTTGTCTTTCAAAATCACATTACAAACACCGAACATAAAATGTATATCTGGTAAAAGGACAAATCTTTTTAACTACTGAAGTCTCAAACAAATAGTCTATTCTTGATACATTTACTACATCTCCATTCTTTCCTTAACTTTTGAAATTTGATTTATACTTTCCAGAGTGTTTAACCAGAATAATTGTCTGAATTTCTCTACCAAAAGTCACTAAAAATAGCCACTTTTTATTCAATACCTCTGGCTTCCTTTTCCTCCCTTTTTTTTTACATACCTTAACACCTTAGATCACAATTACTGAAATGCCCTGATATCTAATGCTGAAAGACCATAGTAGAAAATCTCTTTACCTATTCTCAGACATTTTGATCCCTGAGAAGAGTACATTATAAGCAGCTGCCTATGGATGTGTGGCTACTGAACATTTTCTCAGAGCTATTCCGAAAGGAAAGAAGAGAGGAATGGAAGAAGGGAAAACGGAAAAAATGGTTGTGATTTCCCTTGGCCTGCCCAGTTCACCATTGTGTTGCTTTTTTTTTTTTCTGTTCTGTTCTTTCTGTATTCCAACTACTTTTTTTTTTCTTGTCCTTTTTCTATCTGTACAATGAGAGAGACTTGTAACTAAAATCAACACGTTTAGGTGTTATCACATGGACTATGTACAGCTAATAACCCAGTTGTAAATGCATTCGTTACTAATTACTAACTCAAACTTCAGGTATGTTACTGCTAGATTTTTACATACATTTCAAGATGACAGCAATCTTGTGTTTTGTTTGTTTTTTTTTTAAATTTTATTTTATTTTATTTGAGAACATACTGTACAGAGGGGTTACAATTACATGGGCAGGATAATGCATACATTTCTTACCAAGCATTGCAGCCTCCTCCTTTGTTTACCCTTCACCTCCCTTCCCAGCCTCCCCCCTCCCCCCATGCAATCTTGCGTTTTTAACTTTTGTGTGTCATGTCTAACCAGGCCTAGAATGGTGCTTATATGTCATATGCTTTCCATAAATTCACTGAGAGATCATCTCACACAGCATGTCTTGAAGCTGGCTATATTAGAATTTATTGAGGGATTTTTAAATGGGCACCACCACCCCTAGCCAAACACTTCCAGTGAAAACCTCCAGCAATGGAGCCTATGAACCTTGATAGCTTCTGAGAACCCCTTATTTTTCTCACGCTTCTTAACTGAATTATCTCCTCATCTACAGAATATAGTGGCTTTTGAAAAACATTGATAGAGTCTCCTTAATTGTTGTTTTGCTTTTATTTTATTAAACTACTGGAGTTTGAACTTTAGGCCTTATGCTTATTAGGCAGGTTCTACTACTTGAGTCACACTTCTAGCTGCTTAATTGTTTTTAATGGAGTAGAGGTCATATCCACCCTAGGTGTTCCGCTACATCTGCAGTTTTCAAAATGTCATTTCTCACTTCGAATTTAAAATACTCAGTTGCTTTGTACTGTTGAGCCCAGATCTTTTCTCTGACACAGATCTGCCCCTTCTACATAATAACCCCTCAGACATCCGAAGATAATGACCATGGGTCCTTTCAGTCTTACTTGGTTTAATTATCCCAATTGTCCACTTTGTGCAGCTTAATTTTCAGATTCCTTACTAGCTTGTCTATTCTCTTCTCCCCTCTGTGCAACACTTAATAGTTTATTTTTTTAATTAAAAAAAAATGTAGAGCCTAGTGCTAGAGCCTAGTGTAGAGCCTAGTCCTCCAAAATAGTGCTGGGACCAGCCTGAAAGCACAATGCATCTGTTAATGAAGCTTAATGTGGGTTTGGACTTTTAGCAGCTTATTTCAAGCTTATGATAAGTGAAAGACCAAGTTAAGATTTTTATTTTCAACATTCTTTTTAAAAAAATTTTTATTGTGAAAATACTGTACAGAGGGGTTACAATTACATGGGCAAGGTATGAGTACATTTCTTATCAAGCATTGTTGCCTCCTCCTTTGTTTACCCTTCACATCCCTTCTCAACCCCTTCCCCCAAGCCCGGCCAAAGTTGAAAAGTTCGTTTTTCAACATAACAACTTGTACATCTCATTGTTGCAATGGGTCAACCTGTATCCCTCGTTAAACAATTTGTTTTTGCCCTTCCCTTCCACAAATTATACCAACATCAAATACAATGAAACCAGGGGTTATACTGTGGGGGAGGGACATACAAAGCAACAAAGAAATCATCTTATAAATATGTTAGGAAAAATCGCAAGAACGAAAAAAACCTTTGAATCCCTATCTTGAGGTTCATTTCACCTAACATCAACTTATCTGACCTTTTCTGTTTGTCTCAGACATATACTAGTTATTGAAAATAAGGGAAACCATGGGACCTATGTTTCTTTTGCCTGGCTTACTTCACCTAATATAATTTTTTCCAAGTCTTTCCATATCCTAACAAATGGGGCAATGCCATTCTTTCTGATGGAGGCATAGAATTCCGTTGTGTATATATACCACATTTTCTTGATCCATTCATCTACTGAGAGGCATCTGGTTTGGTTCCATATCTTAGCTATGGTAAATAATGCTGCAGTAAACATAGTTGTGCTGGTAGCTTTAGTGTGGCCTTGTTTGTGATCATTTGGGTAAATGCCTAAAAGAGGGATTGCTGGGTCATAGGGGAGCTCTTTGTGGAGTGTAGTATGGAGGTTCCTCAAAAGACACAACATTCTTTAATATCAAACCAGATTTCTAAAATCTTTTTTTTTTAATTTAATTTATTTTTATTTGTGAACATACTGTACAGAGGGGTTACAATTACCTGGGCAGGATAATGCGTACATTTCTTGCCAAGCATTGCAGCCTCCTCCTTTGTTTACCCTTCACCTCCCTTCCCAGCCTCCCCCCTCCCCCCCAATCCCAATCCTTCTCCTACCCACCCTTTCCCCCCTCCCCCCCTTCCCCCCCTCACACCTACGTTGTAAAGCTCGTTTTGGACATGACAACTTGTACTTCTCATTGTTGCAACAGGTCCACCTGTATCCTTAAACAACTGGTTTTTCCCCATCTCCTCCACAAGTTGTACTGACATCAAATATAGTGAAAGCAGGGGTTATACTGTGGGGGAGGGACATACAAAGCAACAAAGAGATAATCTTATAAATACGTTAGAAACACATGCATGAAAGGAAAAAACCTTAAAATACATATCTAAGGGTTCATTTTCCTGATGTCACATTATCTGACCTTTTCCGCTTGACTCATACATATACTAGATATTGCAAATAAGGGAAACCATGGGACCTATGTTTCTTTGGGCCTGGCTTACTTCACTTAATATAATTTTTTCCAAGTTTTTCCATTTCCTAACAAATGGGGCAATGTCATTCTTTCTGATGGAGGCATAGAATTCCATTGTGTATCTATACCACATTTTCTTGATCCATTCATCTACTGAGGGGCATCTGGGTTGGTTCCAGATCTTAGCTATGGTAAATAATGCTGCAATAAACAGTTGTGCTGGTAGCTTTAGTGTGGTCTTGTTTGTAAACATTTGGGTAAATGCCCAAAAGTGGGATTGCTGGGTCATAGGGGAGTTCTATGTGAAGTCTTTTGAGGAACCTCCATACTGCTTTCCAAAGTGGTTGAACAAGTTTACATTCCCACCAACAATGAAGTAAGGTTCCTTTCTGTCCACATCCCCTCCAGCATCTGTTGTTGTTAGAGTTCTTGTTTTTTGCTGTTCTAACTGGAGTGAGGTGATATCTCAATGTTGTTTTGATTTGCATTTCTTTTATGGCTAGGGATGTTGAACATTTTTTCATGTGTCTATTGGCCATCCTTCTTTCTTCTTCAGAGAAGTTTCTCTTTAAGTCTTTCGCCCACTTATTTATTGGGCAGTTGTTTCTTTGAGGATTTGTTGTTGGGTGGTTTAATTTTTTGAGTTCCAAGTATATTTTAGATATGAGACGCTTGTCCGTTGTATGGCTAGTAAAGATCTTCTCCCAATCTGTGGGCTTTCTATTGATCTTGCTAGCTATGTCATTTGCCCTGCAGAAGCTCTGCAACTTTATGCAATCCCATTTGTCCAACCTTTCTTTGATTTGTTGTGTTTCTGGGTCTCTATTCAGAAAATTTCGGCCTGAGCCAAGGAGACCTAGGGTTTCTCCTATTCCATCCTGTAATGTTTTCAGAGTGTCTGCTTTGACTTCAAGGTCTTTGATCCATTTGGAGTTGATTCTGGTGCAGGGTGAAATATAAGGATCTAGCTTTAGTTTTCTACCTGTAGTTAACCAATTTTGCCAGCACCATTTACTGAAGAGGCTGTCTTTCTTCCATTCTATTGTTTTAGCTCCTTTATTGAAGATTAGATGGCTATAGGTCTGTAGGTTCATTTCTGGGTTTTCAATTCTATTCCATTGGTCCTGAGGTCTGTTCTTATGCCAATAGCAGTTTAAATCCAGCAGTTTAAATCTACCATCACACTGTTTCTTTCTGTCTCCTGCACATCTACCAATATGCCTTTTACTCTAAGACAAAAATGTTGACTTTATCTGGCCTCTTTCCTACAATGTATTTTTTCCCCTTTAGAGTAGCATAGACTCATTAATCACACTCCTAAGGTTAATTGTTCAGCTTGCTCAGTTGTTCTGAACTACCTCCCCAATCTTACATTGAATAGCCATTTGGAAAAATGTATATGTTAACACTGCCAAATCATTCTTTGTGCAACACCATTGGATCATGGTGAGCATCATATTCATTTTCTCATGATTTTTTTGTTTGTTTTCAGAGATATAATCATCCTACTTTTAGTTATACTGACTACCTTTTTTTGATAGCTTAAAAAAATCTGTTTTCTGATCTAGTTCCTCAAAAATAACATTTGCAAAATCATATTCATTATCTTTCTACATCTGTCCTCATTTTCTTCCTCTTCCCCTTTTTTTTTTTTTTTTGGTCAGTGGTGGGGCTTGAACTCTGGGTTTGGGCGCTGTCCCTGCACTCTTCAGCTCAAGGCGAGCACTCTACCGCTTGACCCACAGCACCACTTCTGATGTTCTAGTGGTTTTTTTGGAGATAAGTCTCCTGGACTTTGCTGCCTGGGCTGGCTTTGAACCATGATCCTCAGATCTCAGCCTCCTGAACAGCTAGGATTATAGGCATGAGCCACAAGCACCCAGCTCTTCCCCTATTTTTTTTTCATCATATTTCTCTGTGGCATTAGCATTTTTTATCACAGGATTTAAATTTTGGACCTGCTATAGGTAATCCTAACCTTCAGATTTACCAAGTTAATATGATGATTTCTTTTTTTTACTCAGTGGCACTATTCATTCATACGTCACCCTTTGTATTTATACATTATTATAGAATTTTATAACACTTGTAAATGGCAGCAAAACTTGTTGCATCTCTCCTTTGATTTCAATTTTTCTGCATCAGATCTTGTCTGAATACTAAGTATTTCCAAATTTGTTCTGTTAAAATGTCACTCTTAATGCTGCACTTTCTTGTTCAAGATAATACCTCCCTGTTTTCCTACAGTTCCAGTCAATATTTCAACAGACAGTCTGTGCATCTGCTTGGTGTCTGGATTATTACTTTCTCTGAGTCCTTTCAGATATGTTTAGTTTCTTTCTTCTCTCAAATATTGTAGCATTTTAGTCTATTTCAAATAACCTTGATATTTGCTGTCCAGTTGGGTAGCTACTAGCAAATGTGACTATTTAAAATGGAATTAATTATAATGAAATAACACAAAAATTTAGTTATCAGTGTTCTATCTACATTTCAAGCACTTGACTTCTAGGCTGGTTTGGTTTATTTAGTTTCCCTCCATTTTATTATTGTATTGTGTACTATGTATTCTGTGTTAGGTGATGCATTTAAATATAAACCTCTGGGATAAATGATGACACTGAGAATATGAAGCTCATTCATTTTGCATATTTGTAAATTTTCTAATTTGAAAACTAAGGCAACTGGACCAACGCTATCCAACAGAACTTCCCTCAACACTGGAAATGTTGTAGACTGTTTAGTATAGGCCCTATTAAGCATATGTGGCCAATGAGTCTTTGACATGTGTCCAGTGTGACTGAGGAACTGAAATTTAATTTGACTAATATTCCATTAAATTAGCCATATTCCATTCATTAGCTATATATATTTTATATAGCCAATGAATCTATATTAGATAGCAACAAAATAAATTAACTGTTATTTTGTGGGGGGTGCGCCCATGTGCAGTCAATGCTCACTGCAGTCAATGTCGGGTCTTTGTGGCTGCTTGGCAAGTGCTGCATCCCTTGGGGCACAGCTCCAGCCCTGTGCTTTAATTTTAAGAATGTTTAAGTCCACTGAGGCCATTAAAGTAAAACTCTTATAGTTGAATGATTGTCAACTAGGGTTATAAAGTTCGACTTGCATATCGAATTTAATTGGAAATTCTAAAATAGGTAGTATTGGTCAGAGGTCTGATTTGTTATCAATAACCATCTTGTGAGGGGAGCTCGGGGCTTCAGATGTTTGTTTCCTCTTGCATGTGCCCTTGGAATTGGGCTTTGCTATTGTCTTTATTTATTGTGCCTTTGTCTATATGACTGGCTCTATGAGAGCATGTTTGTTCTCTGGAGAAAAGTGTTCCTTTGGGTCGGAGGAAATAGTTGACTGATATATTTCCAGAATGTATGTCTTTATTTAGCCACACTACCCTTTGATAGTTTCTCACAAGCAATGTCTTTCTACTTTATTCAGCTTTCCTTTTAGTATTAATAAATGTATGCCCCAGTGGAGGTAGGAATCTAAATTGATCTGTAGCTGCTGACTGTGATGATTTTGTTTCTTTAAATGGCCTTCACACAAGTTACGATGTAACTCATTTTTGCTACAAGTTTTAAGAAATTAAGTTTTTAGAAATGTGTGGTTTATTTTCCTAATTGTTCATGTTTTGTCACGGTTGTAGTAATTTGATACTAGCTTAGATCTTAATGAATCGAAACATATTTATATATTTTATATTAGGACTTAATAAGTTGAATTTCTGAAGCATGCTTGAATTTCTGAAGCATGCTTGAATTTCTGAAGCATGCTTGAATTTCTGAAGCATGGTTAGCCTAAAGCAGATGTGTGTATGAATACATATCACATATGTGACTATATATGCATAAATATATTTAGATAGGTATATGTAAATTGTATATAAATATTTAAGTTCTCAAATTTACATACATGTTGAGTACTTGACATAATGGGATTTTTTTGAACACTATAAATACATACTATATTGAATTATAATCTGTTAAATTTATTCAAATCAGGTAATATCTGTACTAGAATAGAAACAAAGATAACAGCCAGAATTATAGGCTTAGGAAAAATTTAATAGGAGAGATATTTAAAATTTCCCATTTTTCTTACCTCTCTGGGCAAAAGCTGTGTTATTTCAGTAGTGAACACAGCCTGTGACTTTGTAGTACCACTCGCTCTTCATTGTATCATGATCTGAGAACCTTTTTTAAGGAAAATAGGTAATAAAAAAAAGATCAATATTACATAAGTATGAGATGGAAGAAAATATACACAGGCTAATTTGTTTCTTGTTTTATTTGGTCTATAAAAATAGCTCTGCTCATTTTTGTTTTTGTTTCTGTTTTATATTGTTGGGTCATATATGAGAAGTCATTATTGCTTATTGTAAAACTCCCTCATAAGTCTACTAAAATGACTCTAGGGATATCAAATAGTGATCAGGGTCCATTGCACAGATTATGTTAATCGGAATGTTTTTCAAGGTTCACATGGTAAACTGATCCTTGATTAATTGTTGTTATTGTCTTGGATCCTGGCCATTATGGTATGTCCCTGCTCTGCTTTATCTAAGTAGTGGACTGTTTTGATGTGTTTATGCAGCCTCCTGCATGAGTGTTAGTACAAGTAAGCAAGTGCGTGCATTTCTGCATGAAAGTTTAGGCCCCTAAATAGTATAAATAAATATGAGTTAAACTGCTGGAATTTTTGTGACCCATTTCAGCCAAGGCGTTTTAATGGAATGATTTGTACTCTACCTCACTTCCATGTAGGAGATATTTGTGAGCTTGAAAACGGCTTTGGAGAAATACCACGAAGGCATTGAAAAGGCCACGGAGGAGTGTGCCACCCGGATAGACAAGAAGTCAGCTGAGCTGAAGAGGAGAATGTTCCGAATGTCAAGCTGACAACACAGGCTACATGGCTTCTGCAAATAGTCTGCCGGCTTTTCATTTCTATTGGGGAAGAGAGTAGTTACATGGAAGCTAATGAAAGATTCAGAAATACCAATAATGTTGGCCCAATCAGTGTTTATATACCCTCATTTTATAAGGCTTTACATTTAATGTGGACTTTTTTAAATTTATAATTAAAGCAACTTTCATAGTTTTCCATGTCTCTACTTTGCCACTTATTTATGCATTGGTTGGAGCAAAGCAGAATAGTTACCTTACCTTAGAGATACATTTTTTGAGCCTTGATCTTGGCCCTGAGCATTGTGGTTGAGCTCTCCTTACATTCTCAGTCACATAGCTTTATTCTGCTTCATAGGTACAGTGACTATGAAGGTCTCCAAAGGTTTAAGTTGGGGCATCAAAATTTCAAATTTCATTTGTGTAATACCAAAATCTGCAACAGTGGAATAGCTACCACATGGATGCTGTGGATTGACCTGGGGGCCTTGCTCATACTATGCTATAAACAGCCCTTTGGTGTTTTAAGAAAGGAGCCCACTGTGTTGCCCAGGCTGGCTTCAAACTCATGAATCTCCTGCTTTTGCTTCCTATGTACTGGGATTGCAGATGTGTACCACATCATCCAACTGTAATTATGAGGAAGAGGAAATGTGAGTGGTAGATGTCCATTTCTTCATCAAAACCACTAGTATTTCCAATTCATTCACATCTAGAATAGATGTGGTCAATACTTGGTGCCCATTATCCCTGAGTATTTGCTGTCCTGGGAATTCCAAGTACTCAGAGATAATCAGCTGCTGTCAGAGGTGGGAACCAGGGTTCCAGTGAGGAGAAAAGCCCTAGAGTAGGAGAAGTAGAAGAATAAGGGAGAAGGAGATGAGGGTACAAATGGAGCTTTTTCTTTGTACCCTTCCTTGCTTCTCTTTAACTAGTCAGAACTCTTAATCCATAGAGCGGTTTCATTGTGAGCCTATAAATAGAACCAGATCTCTCCTGAGTAGAAGTATGAGAGGCCTATCTCCACCATTCTCCATTGCTTGTTTTTACCAAAATTTGAAAACTTCTTTATTGAGTCTGTCCATCATAGTTCGGTCCACTGTCTAAGTACCCAGGTCAATAAGAATTTCCTAGTTACTAAAGTTCCATGGGTAGTTCTTTTATCTTCCTTAAAGTCTCCCTGGCCACAGTTTTTCATCTTAAAAACAATATTCTCACTTCCTTTAATCCCCCATCTCCCCAAATATCTATGTTGCCTCTCCTCACTGTATACTCTGTGCGTCTTGAAAATTTATAAGCACTCCTAGCTTCATCTGAATTAAACATACATCCAATTAAGCTTATATACAACATTAATATTAGTATATACATGTACATCTTATAATATTTCTCTTGAATTTCAGATTTGTATTCCCAGTGGCCAATATATGTTTATGTTTTTAACATTGGTCATTTTGTTGGAGTTTAATGAACTCTTTCAGAATAATATTTTACATGTATGGAATAAAATACAGAGTTACAAAAATAATTCCCTTATGATGATCAAATCCCTCCGTACATATTTATTATAAATAGTATCAGTAAGTACCCTTTTGCCCATGTTAAATATTCACTTTTCCTCCTATGCCAGAACACCTTCCTTGTATCACTGAGTTAGTAAGAACCCTAGATGAGTGTATCCAAATCTGACTCCCATCTTGACCCATGTTGCCTTTCAGTTTTTTATCTGATGTTTACAGGAATCCTGAATTAACCTCCCATGCATAGTCACAGCAGTAGAGTTATTCTAACACAAATTAGATTGTCAATACAATAGTTTGAATAAGGAAAGTTTCCCAAAGGCCATTGTACATGTTCAAGGCTTGGTTCCCAGTCCATTATCCATGTTTAGTAGCTTGATGCTATTGGAAAGTGGTAGACACTTAAGATGTGGGGCCTAAGGGTAGGTCTTCCAGTTATTAGGAGTGCTCTCTTGCAGGGGTAGTAAGAGCCCCCATTTCCCTATAGACATGAGGGAGGTAGTTTGCTGTATCACCTGCTGTGAAGTATTGCTTCACTTCCAGGACAATCAGACTCAAAACTCCAAAACTGAACCAAACCTTTGTGTCTTCTTTGTAAGTTGATTTTCTCAGAGATTTTGGTACAATAACAAGGCTAATCACAGTCAAATCTTTGCAAAGTGTTAGGCTTTTCAAACTACCTTGCCATAACTAATTCTTTAGAGAACCATGCAGCACTTTCAATTTCCAAAAGAAAGAATGACATTTCATAACTAAGACACCATTGCAAACAATGGCAGACTTTACATTCCTTTCAATCACATGTTGTAAAGGTAGACTTTTGGTTTTCACAGCTGGAAGCCAGCTTAGCTGGGAATCTGTGACTCATCTCCATTAACCCAGCAACAAAGCTGGAAGTGGAAGAATGGCTCAAGTGGTAAAGCACCAGCCTAGAGCAGTAAAGCTAAGGGAGTGCACCCTGACCCTGAGTTTAAGTTGCAGTACTAGCAAAAAGAAGAGAAGGAATGAAAGAAGGAAAAAGGAAGAAATAGAGAAGGAAAGAAAGAAGCAAGACTTGCTTGCATTTTCTCACACCAAGTATCAATGTGTATCCAGGGGTCATGCAACTGGTGTTTTGCCACCTTTGCTTGCCTATTTTTGTGCCCCAGACAGTTAAGCATCAATCAAAGAGCCCTCATTATAATCTCGTTTGATTAAATAATAAACTATAACTTTTAGAAAACTTTTTTTAGCCCCAAAGCCTTCTTGAAAATGACTTTTCAGACCATCTAACCCTGTAACATTTTTCCATACAAGGAAATTAATATTTGGAATAAACAGTATCATGTGCTTATGGCATGTGCTGACTCCGATCTCAAAGGAAATGCTGTGCAGATACAAACTTCAGCTAACTTTTATGAGTTCAACTACTTAGCTATATGTAGAGCAAATATTTAATTTCAAGTTCAACTGACATATTTCAAGAAGCTAATCCATTTTATGACAAAGCAAGGGAAATTGAAATATGCACCTCGCAGGCTGAAGTTAATACATCTGATTTTAGTTTAACAGGATGTTTCCTATTTTTAGTAAGGCCAGGAAAGTTTTATATGAAATTCCATTTTGAATTCAGGCTCTGCCACCTATTTCAATTAAGCCAGCACTCTCTCTGTGATTGAAATATGCTTCTCATCTTCCTATCCATATTGCCACCAGGGGGCATAACAAAACTTGCATAACCAATGCTAAAATAGCTATGGATTTTTAAAATTGGAAATGTAAAAGCTGAAAATTTAAAGTGGTAGAACAGCTCCCCAAAAAATGTCAAGAAGGACTTTGAGACCATCTGTGCAGTAATTATTATTTGAAAATGCTGCATCACGGGTGATTTTTAATTTAAGTGTGCAGTGACCTTAGATTTATTGTCATCTAAGCTATTCTTAGTAATGGGTTCAGAATGCCTAGGCTGGATTTTGTGCAAATCTGAAATACTGCATTTTCCTGAGAGAAGAATCTCAGGTGCCATGCAATGTGTAAGGGGTTTAGGAAACAAATCTGGAGCTCTACTTGCCATCGATACCGCCGTAAGATATTCTACATTTTTTCTGATAATATTGCAAAAAGTAAGTTCTTCAAGTCCATTCTTTCTGCCGCTAGCTAGATAGCTCCAACATACATACATGAGCACCTCTACATACTGCTCCACAACTCTTTGATGCCAACTCACTTCAGGGTTACATAATAGTCTGAAGAATATTTTGGTGGAAGCAGCCTAGTGTAGTATAGTAGTCTTCAGACTGTAGTATGTGCAAAATTCACCTGGGGATACTTGTTAAATGTGCCACACCATCACATACTTGATTTGGTGGCTGTTTGCAGGTTGTGTACTTGAGGTAAGCGAAGTGATCCTAATGATCTTTGGGGATCATTTTAAGAAGGAACTCCTGTGAGATCATGAGTCCTTATATCCCATATAAAATAGGCACAAGAAATGATTCATGCACATCAGGAATAAGAGGAATTGTGAAACAATTAGCACCGTGTTTATGAATACCCAAACGGGAGCCAGTTCTGTTTCAGATGAGACTATTAATTGATGGCTGAGAGCCAATTTAATATTTCTGTTTTTCTTTATCACAAGCCTTTGCACATAGTAAGGGATGAATAAATCAGACTCTAGTCTGCATGACCTGAATGCAGATGCTTTTCAGAAGAAGAAATCCACTCTGTACTTGTAATGCAGAAAACAAAATGATGGACAGTTTCTATCCTGTAATGGAGAGAAAAACCAGGTGTGCTCATAAAAATGGTACAGTCTTCATTGAATCCACACGGTGTCGCTGCTGACTTTCCTTGTTGAGAATAAGTGTGAGTAAACCTCAGGGCTCATCAGCATCTTCTGGAAGACTGAAAGAGATTACTGCCCCAGCATTTCAGATTCAATAGGTATGAAGCAGGCTCTAGGATTTGCGTTTCAACCAAATTCCTGGGTAAAGCTGGTACTGCTGGACTAGGGATCACATGTAAAGAACCAATACACCAATGTGTGTGTGAGGTATATGTGGAGGGCACGGTGGTGGTGAAGGTTTTGGTTTTAGGTTTTGTCCCAGACTCCTAGCATGTCTCAAATTTGAAACACTTAGAAGTAACCTTGCTAAAATAAAAGAATGTCATTCAGTAAGTCCAAGAGGAACCCTCTGAAAGAGCTCCCAGGTAATATGCTGACCCACCAGAGCCCACACATAGAGCTACAAGGGTCTTGACAGCTTCTTACCCTCATGTAGCTCCTTGCCCTCCAAGGCTGAGAGTATATATGTAAAATACGTGGCACAGCACCCAGAGCCAGTTAGAAAACATGTAATGAGGTATTTGATGCCAGTAGTTCAGAATGTGGCTTTTGGAGAGACAAGCCCTTGAGCCCAAGTTTGCCTGTGCTGTGAACTGGTCATGTTACAGACTAGCATTCAACTTGGTTCTCCATTTTCAATGAGTAGAGCTTGATGGTCTTTACTTCACAACATTGTTGCAAAAATTAAATCCGATTATAAATGTAATCTACCTAGCACTCTTTGTAAGTGACTATTATTCCTAGGAAACTCCAAAGAATAAAGGTGACAAAAACAGCTGCAGCAGGGGTTATGTGAACTTCTACAGTATTTTTTAAAGTAGAATCTAACCAGAAAAAAAAATTCATACCAGTTT